GCCCTGCCCTTCTTGAGCCCTAACAGCCTAGCTTTTGAGCTGGACTCCCACCGAGATGTGCAGACTAGTTCGTGCAGACTATTTGAATGTCATCCAGGCGTGCATGGTGCCGTAGAAACGTTATTTAAAACCTTCTGCCCCTTTGGTCATGCGGCATTCAAGGTCAACAAGAATGAAGTCGTCGTGTCGGTGATACCTGGCGTTCGGTAGCACGATGTCCAGATAGAGCGACCCTCAACTGGATCTCGATCGATGTTGCGCAAGGTACGACGACGCAATTAAACAATGAAGTTTTGAGTAGCATATTTACTAAACAGAGAAATTGCGTTGACTGAAGCAGCCTTTTCTACGTAAACGTGTGCCAGTACTTATGAGTGACCGTATTTCGTCACACCCGATAATTTCTTTAATATCTCTAACCATAAAACTTTCCCTTCGAAGGTCGCACGCACTGTTGTCCAACAACACTTGCCTGATTTAGTCACATTTGTTATCAATCACTTTCAGTCACAATTATCAGCTGTCCCGCCACGTCAGGTGTCGACTGCCGCTTTTTGCTGGGCTCCAGATCACTTCGCTCTCAAGACAGAAAAGGGCTGTTGGGGCACTCTCCTTCAGCTATCACATATTGCAGGCCAGCTTTTTCCAAGGCTCTCTCCGGTTTTGATCTACAAACTTGCTTCTGAGCGTTCAACTATAACCACCATTCTACCCACCTGCATGATCTGTCTTAAACGCTCGGATAGAAAAGAAATGCGAGTGAGACGGCTAGTTTTGTGAAGTTGTGTTGTTTTCTCCGAGATGTGAGAAAGGGAACATTTTTGCAACGCCAATGCGAAACATTGATACCTACTTGTATTTATCAAAATATCGATAACTTCCCTTACGGTAGGTTGCTTTCAGTTTCGCTTGCTGGGAGCACCCTCAATTTGTGTCACTGATGCCGTGAATTGGTAGATCAGATCAGCAGAATATCTGTGGAACATCGCCACACACCCGCGCTCCCCGCCGCGTCGCGAGGTTCCGCCTGGCAACCGGATGCCAGGCGACATTGACACCGTTCCGGTCCCGGTCCGACATCGAACGAGTCCCACAGTCTGCTTGGTGCAAGCACAGGGGCGGAGTCAGGCGCGACAGCTGGGGAGGCGGATAGGAGACGGAGGCAGGGGCGGAGTCAGGTGCGACAGCTGGGGAGGCGGATAGGAGACGGAGGCAGGGACAGAGTCAGGTGCTGGCGTGGCGGCTGGTGAACGTACGTGGGGACAGACCAGATTGTGAGGACGGTTAAAACTCAGCGGTGGGGGGCCAGTGGTCCAAGAGGGAGCGGCTAAGGCGGAGTGGCGGTTGTGACGTGTCGAGACCCTGTGGAGCCCCCCCCCCCCCCCCTCCGCTGTGGGCGTGCCCAAACGAATCGGGCTTGACCCAATAAAACTACACGGTGTGGACTAGGGGAGACGGTGAAGAGGTATGAGAAGCCTTAATTTCAATGAGACGGACGCAGTGGCAAGTGAAAATAACAACGCGTCCTCGTCGCCGAAGGACAGCCGAGCAAGGTTGCAAGCACTTAAGCTGGCGAAACGTCTACAGCTACATCTTGGTGGTGCCACAACTAACGTCACATTCGTCGCAGATGGGGCAAGCTGCTATTGTTTTTGAAGCCGTCTCTGCATTGGGTCAGAATGCTGTTCTTTGCGGCCAGTGGGATCAAGAAAGACATCCTAAGGCTCTTTTGCCCGCTCCAACAATCTGTGACTATTCTTCTTACCCTTTCCTCTCCTCAAGTTTTTATTAGCCGTGTCTTGAACACGTTACACCCACTGGAAAATTAATAGACCGTGGTTTTTTACACGAAGAACGAAAGCTCTGCTGTCGAGGACATGTCGAGCGCATTTCGCTGTCAGGCGCATGGTAATATAATTTGGAAGAATATGCGTCATAATAAGGACTTTCCGGCATCGATTTGCTTTTCATTATCATACTGCAGGATTATGCAGTTGCATGAGATGCAGTTGTATGAGGCCACAGGAGTACGGAAGATGTTATGGTAAAAATGTTATGTCAAATGCTGTGTAATAAAAAAGGTGCAAGAAAGACTTGCCAAATGACAAATCTTAAATGGCTTATGCTGCGTGAACCAGGAAAATTACAGCACCAAATGCCTTTCGGACACAATGGCTGTTGCCCTTTCTGCCTGGTTCGAGCAGATCAACAGTCAACATGCCTTGATGTTCAATGAAATTAATCACATCATTTTACGAGCTTAGAATGAATTATTTGATTCGCTTTCCTCTGCATAGCGGTCACGCGTATGGTTGTCTAGGCAACAGTGGGAGTCCGTGAGACTCCTCGCACTGGTTGTCTAGGCAACAGTGGGAGTCCGTGAGACTCCTCGCACTGGTTGTCTAGGCAACAGTGGGAGTCTGTCAGACTCCTCGCACTGGTTGTCTAGGCAACAGTGGGAGTCTGTCAGACTCCTCGCACTGGTTGTCTAGGCAACAGTGGGAGTCTGTCAGACTCCTCGCACTGGTTGTCTGGGAAACAGTGGGAGTCTGTCAGACTCCTCGCACTGGTTGTCTGGGAAACAGTGGGAGTCTGTGAGACTCCTCGCACTGGTTGTCTGGGAAACGGTGGGAGTCTGTCAGACTCCTCGCACTGGTTGTCTAGGCAACAGTGGGAGTCTGTCAGACTCCTCGCACTGGTTGTCTGGGAAACAGTGGGAGTCTGTCAGACTCCTCGCACTGGTTGTCTGGGAAACAGTGGGAGTCTGTGAGACTCCTCGCACTGGTTGTCTGGGAAACAGTGGGAGTCTGTGAGACTCCTCGCACTGGTTGTCTGGGAAACAGTGGGAGTCTGTGAGACTCCTCGCACTGGTTGTCTGGGAAACAGTGGGAGTCTGTGAGACTCCTCGCACTGGTTGTCTGGGCAACAGTGGGAGTCTGTGAGACTCCTCGCACTGGTCGTCTGGGCAACAGTGGGAGTCTGTGAGACTCCTCGCACTGGTTGTCTAGGCAATAGTGGGAGTCTGTGAGACTCCTCGCACTGGTTGTCTGGGCAACAGTGGGAGTCTGTGAGACTCCTCGCACTGGTTGTCTGGGTAACAGTGGGAGTCTGTGAGACTCCTCGCACTGGTTGTCTGGGCAACAGTGGGAGTCTGTGAGACTCCTCGCGCTGGTTGTCTAGGCAACAGTGGGAGTCTGTGAGACTCCTCGCACTGGTTGTCTGGGCAATAGTGGGAGTCTGTGAGACTCCTCGCACTGGTTGTCTGGGCAACAGTGGGAGTCTGTGAGACTCCTCGCACTGGTTGTCTGGGTAACAGTAGGAGTCTGTGAGACTCCTCGCACTGGTTGTCTGGGCAACAGTGGGAGTCTGTGAGACTCCTCGCACTGGTTGTCTGGGCAACAGTGGGAGTTTGTGAGACTCCTCGCACTGGTTGTCTGGGCAACAGTGGGGGTCTGTGAGACTCCTCGCACTGGTTGTCTGGGCAACAGTGGGGGTCTGTGAGACTCCTCGCACTGGTTGTCTAGGCAACAGTGGGAGTCTGTCAGACTCCTCGCACTGGTTGTCTAGGCAACAATGGGAGTCTGTCAGACTCCTCGCACTGGTTGTGCAGGCAACAGTGGGAGTCTGTAAGACTCCTCGCACTGGTTGTCTAGGCAACAGTGGGAGTCTGTGAGACTCCTCGCGCGACCGACAAGCATCCACCCAGCAAAGGCTAGCAGCTAACCCCCCCTTTCCTATTCGCTGAACACGCCTCTGCCAGCGATCTGATCCCCAAACGACCAGTTGATACCCATTACGTCTGCTCCATGTCAAACACGGTACCAGGGGCCGCTTCTTGCGCGTGCTTGAGCGTTGCAACATGTCGTGGGGCTGGTTGTCGCTTCGAAGACGATGCCGCGAAGCAGGCAGCCGTGTCGGTGGCGCTCCGCGGCCCGCAAGCGCAGGGTTGGCCAAGGTCAGCGAGGGTCGCGGTCAGGGTTAATGTCAGGTAAGGACGGCAGTTAGGTCGCAGAGCGAATTTTGCAGGCTTTTCATGTCAGTCGTGCTTTGCTGTCTGGTTGCCGAACCCTATGACGCCTTCTGTCCCTTTCACTATTTCAGGTATTTATTTAGAATCCCTCTAAGGGTCGGATGACGCAGAACTCGAAACCTTCACGCGGTATCCTTCACACTGTCCGAATTATACCCGTGGAGCTTCGTGACGCCATTGCTCATTCCTCGCTTAAAGGTTGCATGAACTAAAATATTGCGTTCCAAATCATGATAACTAAGTTTTTGAGCTGCTTTTGGGGCAGGTGTGATAGGAGTAACTGAATGGATGCCTCCAACCCCCCCCCCCCCCCCCACCCCTCCAACGCAATATATCATTTTTATGACGAGTCCTTTCCGATATTTGCGATTGTCTTTGCTCAACGTCCATTTGGGGGATGACTCGTGGCCATCCGTGACGTCAGCTCTCGACACTTCAACGTGTATGAATGAAATCATTGTCTTTCTTAAGCATGATAACTAATTTCATGCAATTGCCTTAAGGGCGGGTTCAAAAGGATGATAGGAGAGATGTGCCCACACGTGGTGCCTACACCGCAGTGATCTTAAACTCCGTCATGACAAGGCAAAATGTCCATGCGGATATGGGCAAGCACACCCGTCCCCAAGTCATCCCTGTGAGCACTCCATTCTCTTCCGCTCAGACGCGGAGGCCAAGTGCATCGCGAAGCCGGGAAGCACGTTTAGCTTCTGCATGCCGCCCTCGAAGACCTCTGGACGCTCTCGCGCCGTACTGCATGGAACGCGCCACATGGTGCTCGAGGCGCACGCAAGCCCTCTGACCCGGCCGGAGGCAAAAACTGGCCTGACCTCGGGCCATCTCGCATATAAGCTCACGCTGGGCGGGCGGAGAGCTCACATAACGGGTCAGTCGGGCTGAGCAGCGGAGGAGCGGCTTTGGCTTTGTGCTCGAAGCCTTCAGCGCCGGGACGGGCTGCACTTGGGCAGAGATGAACGTGGTGCACTTTGCCGTGAGTATGGAAACGGGAGGAGATTGGTGGCGGCAGATGGTGCTTTGCATTAGTAAGGACGCCGTCCAGATGCCGTTTAGTGCATTTGCGAGGAGCATTCCACACGTTTATCAGTCAGTACTTTTAGCCTTATTCCTCGTTAAATAGTCAGGAGAAAGGAATTACGGATGTTTCATATTTCAGCCATCTGTCTCTCTCAAAACAAGTATTGGTAGTAAATTCAAAATTCAAAATTGCCGTTGAGCGATGCATTTTCAAGCTTGGTACTTTTGAATCTTGAGTTGAATACCCGCGATTGCTTTGATAACGGCATGTAGCCGAAATATCATTACACCTATATGTCCTTTCTCCGGGTATTCGGCGTGGAATAAGGCGAAAAGCACGGAAGTATATCTTAAGTAACCGTCCAGAAGTTAGTGAATGTGATTAAACTTGCCTGCTTTCTCACACAAGAACGCATGTGTTAAGTTAGTTTTATTCCCAAACCGTTTAAAAGTACTTTGCGTAAAAATAAAGACCTCAGGATCTGGTTTATCGGCAGCGCTTGCGTAAAGCTAGTTTTTATCTAAACCGTTCAGAAATACTTACATAAAAAGGAAGGCCTCAGGTCCTGGTTTATCGGTATTACGAGCTCAGAGCCCTCATGCCGAATTATCGACTTTCCATATACCGCGAGATTCTGGTAAAATGACGTCATAGAGCAGATATTCGTTTGTGGGTCACTCCAGACGCTGTTACGGATCGCGACGGGTAGCGAAAGGGGACCTGTGTAAGGCGACGTTCCGCCGGGTCAAGGTCAATGTCAGAGACAGTCATCGCTTTTGGAGCATTAAGGTAGTGTTTGGTCCCCCCAAGTAGCAGCTGTTCCTAGTCAAAAGACGAATGGACATTGGTGCAACCACCGGGCGGATTTGCGATGCTCGTACCCCAGTGAGGTTAGGTCAAACGAGGTTAAGTCTGCGCTATGCCAGGGCTTTTGCGGGAGCGGGACGTTTTGGCCGTTTTGCAGGACTATAAAACGACAGCAGTATTGAATGAATCGCGCTGACCTGTCACGTGCGGTTACGCCACATATGTACGCAGTAACAGAGTATACGGTAAGGCACGCGGAGCACCTGGCTTCGCATGCAGTAACGGAGCACGTTTCATGAACAAACACTCACTGTTATCTACAAACCCTCATCGCCTGCTCCTACAGCGATAACGCGCGTAATGGCCATGACGAGTCCGTGGTCCAGGCGTTGATGCTTTGTGCAGAAGAGCATCTGGCGGGGAGGGGGGGGGGGGCATCGGCGTGGTATTGCGTCACAGCCAAGAAGGTTTGACATGCGTGTGCGGTGACCCGGTCAAGGTGGCTACCACGCGTCCAGTTTTTGTGCATGATGGAAAGCAGATGCATTCTGCAGTGGCGGGCTCAGAATGTGGCTGGCTGGCTGCGGAGCAGGTGGAATGCCGCAGGATTGACGTGAATCGATCAGGCTAGAACGTTCATGTATGCCAGCAGGGGCGAAGCGAGGGGAAGCCCCCTCCCCCCCCCCGTCCATTAGGACACGACATCTCCGTTTTTACGATAGATGGCTCCCGGTAGAAAATCAGAAATCGACGCCGGGCGTACTCACCGAGCTTGCTCCTCCCTCACGCCAGCGTTTAAGAGAAGAAAATCCAAGCTGATCCCTGGATGTTAGTGTGCACTGATGCGGTCTGTATCTATTACAGAGCCTCTATATGTTGACCAAGCTAAGAAGGCTCATGCATTACGATGGTTGAAAGGCAACTAAGAAAGCTACATCGGTCCTCTCATTGTGCCTTTGTCGATTTTTCGTTTTGAAGTCGGCACCTTCCTGCGTTGCCAACAGCTTGGTGCAGCCTGCAGAGCCAGAGCATGGGAAGGAATGCGGTGCAAAACAAAACCTTCGTTAAAGTTTTGCTACATTTCACAAAATGCAAGTTCCCTTTTTTAGTGCAGTTTCGCTATGACCAACCGTCAGTAGAGTCTTCCGAACGATTGTCTATCTGACGTTACAGTTGCTGCCCTTACATGTATTTGATTATATTTAATCCCAAAATAATCCCAAACTTGCATCGCAGCCTACAGAGTCAGCGGCCGAAGGCCTGAAGACGGTGATGCTGGTCATGTTGAAGCCACCTTACTTCAGGCTCATTGCGCATATGTTTAATGACTTGCACAAAGGTAGACATATGTCTATGTGGAGCCAGGTAAACCCTGCATATACCCAAACCAAACGGGGAAATTCCCTGATTAGTTAAACAATTCCTATGGGATGTGCTTCGGTATCTTCAGCGTTGCGAGAAAAATCCCCATTGCTCGGCCCGGGCCGTGGACATGGAGGTTATCCTGCGATAGATCAGATGTTCTGTGGTAGCAGCAAGATCCGGGGGTGCCATGGCTTTAACGTTTGTCACTTCTACATTTCTATTTTAAACGGATACTGTCCTTCTCATTTTATTTTTGCACTGTTTTCATTGCTGTCATTAGTGTCTGTTAAATGATTTGACATTGCTCCAAGCTCCCAAAGGAGTTCTGCTATTGCAAAGCGTTTCTAGTGTGCGTGCGTGCGGGCGGACGGGCGGGCGGGTGGGCGGGCGTGCGTATGTTTATGTGCTGAGGATACGTGCAGCTTTAGTTGCGAAAGGTTGCAAACTAACACATAAACTTTTTGTTTGACGTAAAACCCTCAAATGTCTCGATGATCACATCTACACGTAATGTCTTCAAAATATATCTGCAGCGAAGAGTGCATTCCTGGTTCACCGATAAAAAGCGTAGCGTAGCTCACCAGATTTTGCGCAACTGAAGCAATGAATGGAACACGAATCTTATGTGCCTCATTCGTCGTCTATTCATTTGTCCACGAAATGGAACTTGCCTATCTTGGTATCGGCTTATATGTGCTCATCCCTTTGGTGGAAATTGCTTGAGCTTTGAGGGGTGCCCTCGCGACGGGCCCCAATTTGTCAGCAATGATGATGACTTGTCCTAATTATTGGGCGTCTAATATATGGAAACACGTTCACTCGTAATCACTGGAGGGCACCATCTTGGTCGTAACAATGATGCTGTGTTTCTTTAACTAACTTTTTTAGACTGCCTGACTGTTTTTAATGCGTGAGTAAACGGGGAGAGGGCAGAATATTTATAAGGTGCGTGCAAGCGAATTGATGAAGCCTTTATGAGCGCGCGGCGGGTAGTTTCGGGTACGGGTATATGGGCATGAGTATGGGCGTACGGGAAAAGGGCGTCTATGGGCGTAGAAGGCTCACCCATGAAAGGCTACAATGAACATGTGGGGAGACGGGGAAGATAATTGTTCGCTGAAGTCGCAGCGATCCAATCTACCCAATTATGAGAATCCAATCCCTTACTTACAACCATGCCTGTCGCAGGTTTTTTCCGTTCCGATCACTCATGACGTCACGGTTCTCCGCTTAACGCAAATACCTATTCACCTAGTCCATAAGTTTTACCAGTTCATCATTATACCAGCTGTGGGCTGTCGCCAGTCCAACGTTGATAAAATTATGACGTCACGGCTCTGTGCTCATTGACAGAATCATAAAAGTTAGGCCTTCGCAACGTTCTCGAAGCTCATGACGTCACGCTGCTTCTCACATCGCTCGACTGTATTTCCTCACTCATCCTTCACCTGATGCAGGTCGTGCTCTGCGCGGCGAGGTCAATTCTTGTGACGTCACCACGCTCCGCGCACCGCTCTACCGTATTTTCTATATCATCCCTCACCTGATGCAGGTCGTGCTCTGCGCGGCGTGGCCAATTCTTGTGACGTCACCACGCTCCGCGCACCGCTCCACCGTATTTTCTAACTCATCCCTCACCTTTTGCAGGTCGTGCTATGCGCGGTGATGCTAACTCTTGTGACGTCACCATGCTCCGCGCACCGTCGCAACTACTTCCACGGCTACGGAGGCCCCACCACGTACTACGGCTCCAAGGGAAACGCACACTACTCCTACGGCCATGGCCACGTCACCTACCAGCCCTCGTACCGCAGGGGAGGTGAGGTGCCGGCCACGTGCGTAGTCATTCATGCCGGCTCCTGTAGTGGATGGCTTGCGCATCGTAGCCAAACAACGCTGATGATGATGCTTTGCCACGGAGCGTAAGTTTCCAGAAGCCCGGAGTCGTTTACCAGAAACGACGTATAGAGGAGTCAAGTACTGGTGAATAGAACACCTAACGTGGTACATGCCGCAGTATCAGTATTGCCTCCTTGTCGGGAAAATTACCCCAGATTTCTGGCGGGATTTTAGCCCATGTTTATTGTGCCACACGGACCAAAACGTTTGTTGCTAGCCGCTGAGAAGTGACGGGTGATGTCATCGTCAAGGTTGCGTGGCGGCAGCTTGATGCTGTGTGCTGTTGTTTGGTAATCATTTGTTGCGTGTTGCCTAGCTTAGTTCATCCAGGTGTAGTGGTGAATATCAAGGCATTCGCGGAAATGGGAATCGTAAAGGATTCCTTGAAGATGTTACGAAACGAGGCTCGTTGGTAAAAGGATAATTCCCTTCTTTTTAGAATCCTTGTCATTTTGTGGTATAAAAACATACATTATGCTGTTGCACGGCAGATATTAGTGATCATGCCTTGGATTGCATGTGCGATCTTTTAGGAAAAAACAAATATTTGGGTTTCATCCCCCTGCGTTGGTGGATGCTGATCCGTTTGTTATCAACCAGCTTAACGTTAGCCTAGGACACTGTGTTCATGGTCAATACGTGCAGTGTACGGTATTTTTCCCTCCAGGAAGACCCAGTAGTTCCAATGGACTTACGCTGCGGGTGACATACCTAGCGTAATTACACTACGCACGCAATTGCAGGCAAAAAAGGTGGAAGACGGAACAAAGGTGGTAAGCGTGGTGGCAGGACCATCGTCATCATCCACAAGAGCAGCTACGGCCACGGGAGCAGCTACGGCGGTTACGGGCACGACTACGGCGGATACGACAGCTTCGGGGAGAGCTACGGCTACTACCACTAGCGACATCTATGTGGCTCGCCAGGTACCACCGAATGTCTTGCGGAGAACAACAAATGTGGTCATGGCGCGTGCCGATGTTTGACCACACGTCATCCAATGACATATCAAGTGACCTTAAAAGTCCGGTTAGACATGTGTAAAAGATGTACGGGCGGCACTAGGAATATGCCCCGCTGGACACCGTCTTATATCTTTTAGACGCAGCGAAATATGTGCACTAGGTCTGCAGCTGCTTGCAAGCGACGCACCGTCATGTTGCAGGTATCTGGCGTTCTGTTAAAACGGCTACGGGTGTCGTCTGAACTCGCAACGTTCCGGGAATGTTTCAATGCTGAGCATTCCAAACAATGACCATCACTCTGAATGTGAATCTCGGGATCCTTGCGGATGTATTTATTCGCGCCGAATGAATATTTATGAATACACGGTGCTAAAGAGAGCTTGGCCGTGCTATTTTTGGCGGGAAGCGTGGCAAACAAGCTGGCACCCACATCTGCGATCTTCTCGGTTCCGACTACGCTTGCATAAGCTTATGCAGATACAGAGAAACAGTGCTTGACGAAGCTTCGCTCGAGCGGTTTCCGACCGAAAGAAAGAACAGACTTTGAACAGACCGCCGTTCTCATGTTCAGCTGCGTCTGATGCCTGCGTGGATCCCAACGTGGTATACGCTTCATGCCAACAGTCAGCCCCTTGCCAGCTATTCCTTATCTAGTCAGCGAATTTGAGCCCCACAACCACAACGCACTGTTGTATGTCCTGCGTCACACGTGTCACGTTACGTGACGTCACATCATACATCATCGTCACGTCACATAACATATGTCGCGCGCATATAACTAGATAGGTGGATCTCGAACACGAGCACGAACGAATGCTCGACGAAGGCAAACGGTTAGACGAACACGAACACCGGGAAAGCATGAAGTGTAGTGGCTGGTTTTTACACTCACAAATATATATATGTATATAAAGAGGGCCTAACCTTTACTTAGAGTTTAATAAAGATGATCAACATCCTCAGAGGATTCGTCGGCAACGACCAGCTGCTCCTCCACACCTGCTTTACTCGCCTCCAGCGGTGCAAACACGTCGGTGACATGGCGAGCGAGTGCGGCGGATGCAGGAGGGCGTCCAGGGCGTCGCCGCGGGTGCGGTTGCCGTCGCTATCCAACAGCTCTTGCAGGAGCGTGAAGCTCCCTCCGCGTCCGTCGGTCTCCCAGGCACGGTCTCGGTGCCCTTCCCACGGGTCCTGACTCAGGGCGGTCGCCGGGGGCGGCCTAGCGCGGCGTGCACTTGGCTGTACCGTCGCCAGTCAAGATGTAGCCGAGACGAGAGGGGGTCGGCCTACGGGCATCGGTGCACTCGGCTTCACTCCGTGTGACCGCGCTACCCAGGCCGGTCACGGTGTGCAGATCAGGCCGATGAAGTAGTCCAGATCAGAGCGGTCACGGTGTACAGATCAGAGCGGTCACGGTTTGCAGACCAGAGCAGCCACGGCGGGGGGATCAGGGTGGTCACGGTGTGCAGATCAGAGCGGTCACGGTGTGCAGATCAGAGCGGCCACCGTGTGCACATCAGGGCGGCCATGGTGTCCAGATCAGAGCGGTCACGGTGTGCAGATCAGAACGGCCACGGTGCGCAGATCAGAGCGGCCTTGGCGTGCAGATCCTGGTGAAGCTGACCTGCCCGGGGTGAAGCAGGCACGCGCTCAGCTGGCGTCCATGGCCATGAACCGTCACGGGGTAAATGTCTTTACATGGGAGGGTGAACGAGAAGGGGAAACGGAACAGAGAGTGAAGGAAGTTGAAAGTTATACAACATGGTAGTGCACTGTAGCCTTGTTGTCAACGTGAGCGACTTACAGTAATGTCGTCATGATGGCCTTAAGTACGGAAATGGAAAGCGAAGTGCAGCATGACATTATACCTGACGAGAAATTCGCCTTTTAAACATTGTCTCCAAAGGAACCCAACTACATCAAAGGACGCCATTGGAAGAATGAATTTAACATGACAATGACAGCTCGTCGCAATGGTGACAGCATGGCGAAGAGGGACAGCTAACTGCCACATAGTGGTCGTTGGAAAGACAACCGTGTAATGTGATCACCGCGGGGATTAAATGCGGCAGTCATCGCCATGAATCGAACTGAACCGTGGCTTCATCGTTGAGCCAGCTGCAAATGAATCCGCCGGGAAACAAGCTGCGGCTGGAAAGCGGATCACCACTGGGCACCACCGGTTATCACTGGTCGTCACTGGTCAACAGATGGTCATCGCTGCTCAACAGCTGGTCAGCACGGGTCAGCAGCTGGCAAACACTTGTCAGTACCTGGTCATCACAGGTCAGCAGGTGGTCATCACTAGTCAGCAGGTGGTCATCACTGGTCAGCAGCTGGTCAGCACTGGTCAGCAGCTGGTGAACATTTGTCAGTACCTGGCCATCGCTGGTCAGCAGCTGGTGAACACTTGTCAGTACCTGGTCATCACAGGTCAGCAGGTGGTCATCACTAGTCAGCAGGGGGTCATCACTAGTCAGCAGCTGGTCAGCACTGATCAGAAGCTGGTGAACAACTCGGGAAGGTACTTTGCCAAAGGGAAAAGCGGCACAGGTGACCAGAAACGCCCTCCAGCCGGTCGGACTCGCCTAGGTGAGGCTTGTGACACTTCATCACGAAGTTGTCGGTCAGCTCGTAGCTGGTCCAGTCGATCGACTCCTGGGACAGAAGACACTTCCTTGACAGAGGGAGGTAGACTGCAGCCAGGCAGCGGAGGCGCGCCATACAGCTGAGACGACAGTGACCTGAGGACACGTGACGGGTGACGGCGAACGCGGCAGGGCGACCAATACCACGAGTGCGCTCCTCTTTTGGCGTAGACATGAGAGCGGACCGGTTACTTTTTGCGTAGGAGGCTGTAGATTAGCGCGTCTCCACGCCATAGGACACTGTGGAGCAGAGCGTCTCCACGCCATAGGACACTGTGGAGCAGAGCGTCTCCACGCCATAGGATACTGTGGAGCAGGGCGTCTCCACGCCATAGGATACTGTGGAGCAGGGCGTCTCCACGCCATAGGACACTGTGGAGCAGAGCGTCTCCACGCCATAGGATACTGTGGAGCAGGGCGTCTCCACGCCATAGGACACTGTGGAGCAGAGCGTCTCCACGCCATAGGATACTGTAGAGCAGGAAGTCTCTACGCCACTGTGGAGCAGGGAGTCTCCACACCATAGGACACTGGAGCAGAGCGTCTCCACGCCATAGGATACTGTAGAGCAGGAAGTCTCTACGCCACTGTGGAGCAGGGAGTCTCCACGCCATAGGACACGGGAGCAGAGCGTCTCCACGCCATAGGATACTGTAGAGCAGGAAGTCTCTACGCCACTGTGGAGCAGGGAGTCTCCACACCATAGGACACTGTGGAGTAGGGAGTCCCCACGTCATGGGACACTGTGGAGCAGGGAGTCTCCACGCTATAGGGTACTGTAGAGCAGGAAGTCTCTACGCCACTGTGGAGCAGGGAGTCTCCACGCTATAGGGTACTGTAGAGAAGGAAGTCTCTACGTCACTGTGGAGCAGGGAGTTTCCACGCCATAGGACACCGTAGAGCAGGGAGTCTCCACGCTATAGGAAACTGTAGAACATGGAGTCTCTGCGCCATAGGATATTGCAGAGCAGAGAGTCTCTACGCCATATGACACTGTAGAGCGGGGAATCTTTATGCCATAGGTCACTCGAGCAGGAAGCTTACGCGCCATAGGACACTGTAGAGCAGGGAGTCTCCATGCCATAGGTGCAATCGATTAAAGTATTTGATCTACTGGGTTCGGGTCGAGATTCTCGCTGTGCAATAATGTTGTCTACACACTGATCACAACGCCCAAAAAGATCAAAACTAAGAATCCTTGTTGAAAGCCTGTGTGACAAACGGTGTGGTGGATTTTCGACAGGCTGTGCTGTCACCATTTTCTGCGGTGAAACTTGCATTACCATTGCAAGGCATGAGACCTGCGTGGGGTGAAGTGAGGGACAAGAGTCGATCTTGCTTTGTATGCAGCATTCCTATGACATATGGGGTAGGAAACATAGTGTTGAGTCACATCATTAGAGGTGTTGCTTTTTTTCGTTAAAGGGAGTCTTCCACATTTATGTGGGGCTTTGAACTGAAATAGCCATCTTGAAGGCTTTTTCGGTGCCGCTCACAATCCTGCCCTTCTTAAGACATAAACTGCTCTAGTTTCTGAGCTATACACCCCCAAAAAGCGGGAAACGTATATTAAGAGAACATTTCCAGGTCACCCTGGTATTTATGACGTCATGATAACGTCATTCAAATCCTGCCATTCCATAAGCTACGCGGCGATCAAGCCCGAGGAAAATATCATAGTCGATGCGTTTATATCTGGCGTTCGTGAGCACGACCCCCAGGTATAATGGCCGTCAATTGGCTCGATCAGTATTGTGGAGGGTAAGATGGCATAATCAAACCATGACGCATTCGGGAGCATATTTACTGGAGTGAAAATGGTGCCGTCTAAAGCAGTCTTTTCAACTTGAAAAGCATACTTAAAGTAATTAAGCGAACGTGTTCCATCGTAAATAATGTTTGCTTCAAAATCTTCCAATGTGAAGCATTTCCTGTAATGTCCTGGCGCCAACATTGCTTAAGCGTTATTGGAACTTTTCATCCCATTTCACCTGACCCGATCCACAATCCAGGCTTCACTCTCGGCTCCGGGGTGGTCGCTACCGAATGTGGCCAAAATCGAATTATTCTCTGACATGCACAATGTCGCTAAGAGCAAACCAAGTGCACTTGACCAGGTACCTGCACAACTTTCTCATCAGCGTACTCACATGGACTGACATCATTCAGGGTCTTGAACACCTCAGGCTTGAGCGTGTAGTTATTCCATTGGTCTTTTATCTCCGGGCTACCCTCCGACTCATGTGACTGCCCTGTTCCATGCTGCTTTGCTGTCGAAACACACACAAGAG